AAAAACAATTTACACCTGAACCTAACAATTTGCATCTTGGACTCCGAACCGGATTTCATGCACCGAATTAAAGTTTCTATCTCAATTTAAGCATAGCTAAAAAGAAAAAAATGCGGAGGGTTGTAAGGTTCCATTCCCCTTTTTTAAAGGTCTACTAGTATCAAGTGACTATATACAATCGCGACTTTCCTAGGAAAGGAAGAGGCCGGCTGCTTGAGATCCATCTACAGTTATTACGCCTACACGCCTTAAAAGCTATTTTTTCTAACTCTATCGTAAGATTTCTAAAAATGTTCAAACATCTAAATTAAATTGCGAAGATGTATGTATGTATAAGCCGCTTTTACGGCGCGCTAGGGCGCTCTGCGACGCCTACTCGCCACAGGAATCTGTCATGGTAGAGATCCTCCGGAAGCTGGCATCTCTCCATCTCTTCACGAATGCCCTCTACCCACCGTTTGGCTGGATGCCCTCTCCGTCGCCTACCTGGGGGGACCCACTCCAACACCTTCTTCGGCAACCTGGTATCAACCATTCTCTACACATGCCCATAAATAAATTGCGAATATAATTCTCCACTAAAGTCAAAGAGGAATGTTCATAAGTCCGCTTGGAAATTCGCATTTATTGGAAGAAACTAAAGGCAACGTCTGAACGCCCGTGCGGCATCTTTCTATACCACGGTAAAGCTGGTTATCCAAAGGTGATGGATGGCACTATTAGAAAACGACAAGTGCACCAGCTTTCGTGAAAAATCGGGGCTCGTGAGACCCAGCTCGATCCAGAGTTGATATCGAGATCGAAAAGCTATTCGCAGTTTAAACAATGCAGTCCAAGAGTCAAAGTGTGATATAGTCTTGGTTACACTGTGTTGCCAAACTACAGCAATGTGAACGATTAAGAATTGCGGGTGAGAAAATGAAGGAGAATGTTTTGATCGAGCATTTATCCAAATGTCCAGCCAAACTGTCAGTTCAATTTTTTCAGTGGTTTCATTTCAAAACATTCGAGTACAAACATGCAAACATATTTTTTTCTCTGTGAGGATAAAAAATCAAAGTAAATGCAATATTGAGGAAGAAAATTGAAAAATAACGGTGGCTTAATTTGAAAATTTTGCACCTCACATGCACACCTCTCATTATTCTTTGTTTTACTTTTATTTTATTACTTTTTTCAAAATAAAACTAAGCAAAATATTTCCTTGCAAATCTTTGCGTATGTTTTGAAATGAGTGAGGAATATTTACAAAAAAAAAAAAAAAAAAAAAAATTGACGTTTAGTTTTTTTTTTCAATAAACCGTGAGCGGCGGTCTCTCGAGTACCTCTTTAGTCGATTAAGAAGAACACAACCTTGTTATACCTCTAAAGAGGAAAAGAGCATACATTATTGCAGGGCTAGGGACTTTTGCAAAACATTCAGTCTGATATTTTAATTATGACCTTTTCTAGTTACAAAAAGTCCAAGCTCTTCTGGAGTGTATCTAGAAACTTTTAACCTAAAAAAACTCCATGAAAGCGTTAAAAAAATATTTTTCTCTGTTAATTTTATTTTTCCTCTCCAAATGGCTTATTTCCATTTTTCTGTTCCGCCAAAAAGTATGCAATTCATATACGCATGTCTGTGGTTCTTTTTAATGATTAATTACTGCTCTTGGGTAATGATGTTCAACTTATAGATGTAAAAGTTGTGCTTATGTGCAGAACTTGGAAAAATCTGGCAAACCAGCCTCTTCATCATGCATTATGGATTTTTCTTATTATTATTGGTGGCTCACTGTACATCGGTTTATTTCAAGCTTGAAAGAAGTTACAAAGCCTCACTAAATTAGATTCAAGTGAATAAACCGGATTGCACCTTGAGGTCTTAAAACTGCTAGTGAAACTGAAAAAAATACCTACTGCCGAAGGAGTCGATTCTGTGGGTCGAAAAAAAGACGATTTTGTAATATAACTTTTTTTCAAAAAACGCTTTCCCTGGGGGCCACCCCCACCCCCTTCGCGCCCACCCTCGCTCCATTTAGTCCCTGTTATCTCGAAAACGATGAGTCATAGCGAAAAAACGCAAGACACATGTTCTCAATACTTTTTAACGCTGAATCTGACGGTGCGGTATAAAATCAATTTTTGTCGCTGGAAACATTAATTCTGGCCACTTTTCATATCAGCGCCTGCAAGACTGCTGGAATACTTTATGCATTGCGCGGAACAGTGCGGTCAGCGTCAAACGCATATTAGCGCCTACAAGACTGCATGAATACTTCTCGCATTTCACCAAATGCAATGCGAGAGTTATTTGCGATGACTATTCCACTACGGGTATATACAGGGTGTCCCAGGATTAAGTACGAATATTTAAGGAGTCGATTCTTTAGGTAAAAAAAGACGTTTTTATGATATAACTTATTTCCAAAAACGCTTTTCCTGGGGTCCATCCCCCACCCCCTTCACGCCCACCCACGCTTCATTCAGTCCCTATTGTCTCGAAAACCATGAGTCATAGCGAAAAAACGCAAGACACATTTAACAATACTTTTTAACGCTAAATCTGATGGTGCCGTCTAAAATCAATTTGTGTCGCTGGAAACATTAATTTTGGCCACTTTTAGGTTCGGCACCCCTCTAAACCCCCCCTCAAAATGATTTGTCCCTTTATTTGAGGTCAAAACTGAAGAGAACGCTAGAAACTACCACCGTAACCAATTTTCATTAATATTGGTTGATAAACATTGTCACAGTGTTAAAAAGCCGATTTTTTTTTCTCTAACTTTGGGGGGCCGTGGTCCCCGGGGAGAGAAAAAATGATACAACAAAAACGTCTTTTTTGACCCAAAGAATCGACTCCTTTAGTATCCGTACTTAATCCTGGGACATCCTGTAGAGGGCGATTTCGGTTTAACTTTTTATTCTCTCACAATTATTGAAAAAATGAGAGGAGGCGAAGACATAACAGCGTGTCTGTCTCCTCCCCCGGAATCCTCGGCTACCTGGTTCCTCCTGTGTTTCCTCAACAAGTGGGCGTCATCGCGTGTGTCTCGCATGGCGTGTCCGGTTCCTGGGGCTCTTCACCGCGGCCGGTTGCAGCGCAGCCAGATAACAGGGCTCCACTATCAGATGCAAGGAAAATTAAGTTGCTGAAAGGAGATGGTGCCTCGTTCCATGGCAGAAAAACGGCGAGTTTACGTAAGTATACGGTACGGATATCAATTAGACACCTATTGTTGTTTCCGCAGCCCGCTTTCCATGTCAGATGGAATACAAATGCTCCCTGATAACATAAATCTTGTTCCTATGACATCCGAGTATTTTGCTACAATTTTATCGGATATGGGATACGACACACATTCATGCCTGCATTGCGTCAGTATGATGCAACCAGAGTTCATTTTCCGGCTTTCGTTTCCTTTAAACTTGAGGCCCATGCCACAAGATCGAATATTCTTCTCGAATAAACTTATTTTAAAAATTAATCCAATGAGGCAAGACGATAACATTAAATAGGATTTTTAGAGCATTGTGAATCACGTTGACACTGCAAGTGTATAGAATTTATCCAATGGACCTTGATGTTTCGTTCTAAAGGTCAGTTTCAACTTCCTTTTAAGATCGTTCAGTCAGGTTAATGTTTTATTTTTAGACCTGTTCCCTCCAAAATAAATGAATCAGCATGTTGATGCAGTAAATCCGTCAATTACTTGTGGTGGTCAAACATACCATGGTCTTTCCATAAACCATGGATCGAATTATCCGTCGAGTAAAAAAATTATCGTAAGTAATATCTCTTGACGAACGCTTGCCAAAAACTCTACATCGTACTTGTAAAAGCTCTCAGAATTCTTGATTTGACAAACAATTGCAACTAAAACTTCCGTGTTTGTAATCTTCCAACATTTCTTTCAAACTAGGAGATGGCGCCAGCTTTCCCATTAACATTACGACGCCATGCACTGTATAACTTCAACATTCAACTGTTAACTTGCCCACTAGGAGAATGGTTAACAACGTGTTGGGAGTTTCGTTTTGCAAACAAACCAAAGTTTGGGAAACTTGTTTGGCTCATGACGTCACCCGAAGCTCACCATCCACCTAGTTGGTAGATCAACAGCCGGAAAAAGGGTGATAACTGTTGTTCCCTTATAATTATCCATACGGAAGTGATGAGGTCCCGAATGTCAAATGGCATACATGCCAAATGTTTGCGAACTTGATCGGTTCATTAGGTCACCCGAAGCTCATCAGTCATCACCCACCTAGTAGTAAGTAGGATGACTGTTGCTCCTCCATAATTCGGAAAGTTTTGCATCCCCGAGAATAAAAGTTTCCACAAGTCACCAAGAGACTAGCGGAGGGTGTCTTGTCTCTGCTTGTTCCAATTGCATACCTTTGGTATTAAATCTACCTACGGCCCCTTTAAATTTGTTTTTTGCCATTGATTTTAGAATATCGACGCGGTGAAGACTGAAATGCGGAACAGCGCCGCACAACCGGTGACGAGACTGAGGGAGAAAAACTTAACAATGACTTCTTGAATGTGTTCATTGTGAGTGCGCTTGCGAGTTAGATTGTATATTATTATATACATCTTCTCGATATGATCTGGATCTTTTAGATGAGATGCACGCTCGAGACGGACGACGATGGCCGTTTAGGTGCGTCTCATGCGTGGAAATTACTCATACGTGCATCGGACGCAGCGTCGACACAATCAGCGTAAATCATTTTCACTTTTAGCTTCAGCCACACGTAATTGGTTCTGAAAATGCCAATGGAGGGGCAGATGGGCGAGTAAAAGTTGTGTGCTTTTTTCATGCTTTCGCAATGTTTACGCCTAAGCAGCGGATAATTACCCGAAGCAGAGGTGGAAAAGAGAGAATGAAGATGCGAACGAGAGAGGGGAGAAAAAGCCAAAATGTTCCGATGGCTGCTCATTTTAATGCGCGATATATATGCTATCCCTCCAAGCATTGCGTGTTCACTTAACGCGGTTCGTGTTTGCCGGCGAGGTGACCAATATGTTCAAGTGTGCTTTTCTTGTTCTTGTCTTTGCAGTATCGTAGTCGTTGGAACCGAGGATTTCGGAATGCTCCCTCTTGAGGGAGGGACAGTGCTTCAACCCAAATCTTCTTGTTGATGTGGGTCCCACAGTGACTTTTGCTCGAGCTGGATTTATTTTAAATGTGCTCGTATTATGTTTAAATCAGCGAGATGTGATGGAATTACGCTGAAGTCGGTAAGTGAAACCCTTACACAGTCATTCCGATAAGTTCCTCTGTTTTTGATGTAGTCATGGAATTTTTCAGTCATTGACTCAGCATATTCGTCAGAGTTGAGGTCCTATTAGAATACTAATTCACAGGGTATGAGGTACCTCATATGTTACAGTGAATATTTTATTTTCAGTATCAATATTTGAAGGAAAGAGGAGAATTCAAAGGAAAAATCCGTAAAGTTCTGTTTCTCGCCGATTATAATATTATGTGAATATATTTATGCAAATATGTCCATCGACCCCCAAAAAATCCTCAACAATCAGACATCTTCAGTATAAATGCACTCAAATGTCCCTGCTTAAGAAGTGAAATATTATTAATTACATTACCGAGTAGAGATTTCGTTTGCGAGATTTTTCATGTTTCCATGACAAAGTTTCGAGGTGTGATCAAATCGTTCAAGATTTTTTTCTTGATGTATATTTTACAAATTCAAATGATTTTCTCTGTATAAGATTGATGGACTCCTAATCTTGAACATCCATGAAGGGCTAATCGAGAGATTTATTTCCTTGATTATTGCCCAATTCTTATAGTAGCGGTGCAACTAAGCGTACACATTATGGATATCAAATCAAGTCGTAAAAATAAAGTCTGAGCATTTTGCAAGTTGTGTCTTTCTTTATTTTAGGTGATTTTTGCTGCGCAAATTTTTTTAAATATTAGTTAAGTGTTTTTTCAGAGTTTCAATCAGAATTTTAACTTCCTTTTATTTCCACGTAAAAAGTAATGTAGATTTTCCGAAAAGGAATCAAAGATAAATGCTGAACTTTTTTCTTCAAACTTTTATTCGAATCTTTGCTCTCGTATAAACATTTTTTTCAACAAATACTCACCTAAAAAACGTTTATCTCAACATAAATACATCATTAATTGGCAATCAATAGCTACTTTGCCGCTGCAAAGTTTTCAGTCGTAAGCAACTTACTCCAGTTGATCCACTAATCGTGATCCAGTGATCTCGATCTAAACTTTTACTCTCAATCTCCGGACATCTCAGAATATCCTTGATGAAAATACTCACTAGACCCAGTTTCAGATAAATGAAGGGATTGAGGGGTGTCCTTAGAGACCCTGTCCTTTCCTGTATCTCTGTAGATCTAACGTTTTTGGACAGTGATGGGCCTAAATTCTTTGAGAGTAATTGCGAATTTAGCCGATTAGTAAATTTTTTGCGGTGAGGTGTACTGCCGTAAAAATGAGGGTTACAATGAAAATAAAATTAGTAATTTTTCATTTTTATTTTGAGTTTAATGCTGTTTTTGACCAGAGTCTATGCCAATATAGGCTGCAAATTGGTGTACTTTTTCGTAGTGGAATAAGCCCAAAAATTACCATATGGTACGAACTTGCGCACAGGTCGAAAAAGGACATTAAATTTGAAACAACCATGTAATATAATATATCACTTCAGGAATTCAACAACCGCAGCCACAACAAAATATTCTCCTTATAAGAATTATTATTTAAAACGCCGATAGCAGAAATCCAGGTTGGGATCAATTTTGGTCTTCGATGACATCCTTTCTGTGACCTTTTGATTTGTTTGCACGTGTAGTAGCTGTAGAATCATCGCAGGCAGATGAAAAGATTAACATTATTTGAATCGTGGGATCAAAGTCATTGAAACATCCGATGAATATGGGAAGTAAATAGCACTCTGGAAAAAAAATGACGCATTGATGACTCTAAGAACAAAATTTTTCATAATTGTGTACACAAGGGAAAGTTACAAAAAATTACTCCATTTTCAAGTGTGCAAAAATAGTCAAAACTTTTTATGAAACATGTGTAATTTTCTATTTTAAACTAACTTTATTCCAAATCCTAACAATCAACATTTTTTTCAAATTTACTGGCGACCTTTGCAACATTCTGACAATGCCATTGGCAGTTTAATTCAACTTATTTAGAGATCCTATCTTTATAAATCTATAAATGAAGACTCTGAGATAAATAAGAAAAAATCAAGTGTTTCATAGCAAAGATTAGGTAATTGGACTTAAAAGTATCTGTCTCTGAGATTTTTAAAAAAAGGCATGTTTGGAATAGCCTTTGTCCGTTAATATGTGTTAGACAGAGACCGATACGACTCGTAAGGCAAGGAAGATCGCTCCTCTTTCTATACAAATGCGTTTTTTCCACATGACTCTCAATTGGATCGTGTGAAGCAGAAACGAACCAAGCCACACCAGCAATTGCCAAATTTAACTGGGTAGTTTAATTTTTTACATGAAGACCGTGCGGATTAGATCCGTACATCCATGCGGATTTTTGTGCCAATTTCAGTGAATTTTCTGCATAATACGAATCAACGTCATTGAAACTTTCAAAGGAATCCGCTCAGATGTTCTCTTGTAAAAAATTAAATTGCTTGGTTAAAATTGCCATTAGGTGATGTGGATTGGTTCCTTTCTGCTAAACGCGGTCCAATTATTCTGCGTAATGCTATTCTACTCTGATGAAGTAGGAGGCTCAATAAGTGATAGGAGGAGCGTCGCAAACTTGGAGTGGGGGCGGCGAGTGAGATTATGCTCTTAATCCATGTTCATCTCGAGAAAGTAAAACGGTATAGGCCGATGATCATGGTAGCGCCCTCCTCTCCCCCTCCTCAGTTTCTTAACGCCTTAACGCTCCGTTCGATGGTCATACGGCCGATCCTAGTTCACGGCTCATAACTCGCATAACGTTTCATCCGAGCTTTCGACTCTGTTTCAGATGGTAATGAACGTCACATTTCTCCTGGTAACATTTCTGATTTTGGAGCAAGCTTACGGAAAGAAAAGGTAACCACAACTCTCAATACTCATACGCACATACTATCATGAATACTACTGCTACATAGAAAAGCGAAGCGATTATGAAGAATAGGATTTCAGTAAAAATCGATGCTAAGATATTGACTCAATAGCATGGTGTCTAAAAGACCAGTCTCATATTTGTCATCGTTTTGCACACCTTGTTATTTCAAATTTTTTTATTGTTTTTTCAAACTTTTGATCCCGTAAACGAGTAAAAGACGATACAACATAACATACAATGACTTACAGTGAACATTGAAGGGATTTGATTGTGAAGACAAAATGCCAAGAATGAAATATGCTTTAATTAATAAAAGCATCTTCTTAACACCTCGGCATTGTGTTTTCATGATCGAATCCCTTCAATCCTAACTGCTGCTACGGCGATTTTCATCGCCATGTTCAAATACAGTAAAGCTGTATGAGCAGTAAAGCATGAGTACTGCTCTGTATCTCAGCAAGGTAGCATTCACTGCACCAAAAGATAAGGGAATAAGGTATGAATGTCAGGAGGTGACTCAAGGGCTCGATGATTATGAAGGTCAGTTTCCCCTGATCCTTAACGTTTGAGAGTATGTCAATAAGCAAATTTTTGTGTGCTTCAGATTTAAGAGAGCATAAATTTTAGAAAATTGACCGTAGATTTGTCAAATTGATCAAATTTTCCTACAAACCTCACCTCTTTAAAAAGCCTCATTCATTACTGAATTAAAGCGATTCACAGCCAAGTTACCAAAAAATTCAACTTTGTTTTAAAATGGAGCCAGAGAATTTAGTGAAAATAGGAATTTTTTAAATAAAAAATGTAAGCTCATGGTAGATGCTTTGAAAAATAATAAAAACTTACTCACTGGTTCACTCTTGCGTAAGAAGATATTTTTGTGGATTAAATATACGATTATGTACAACCCAGATCCCAGAGGTAATGAAAAACTTTGACGGAGTAAGGCACAAAAATATGTTGAAACAATATAATACAACTTTCCAACACTCTCTTGTTTTTGCCGGTTTCTAACCGAGACGCGTCTCGGACAATGGCGTGGTGTACTTTGCAATATATCGATAGATCTACCATTTAAAATTATAAAAAAAGATCAATTAACAACTAACAACTTTGCAACTTTGTTTGCAACTAATATCTTAATAATCGATTCTTTACCATAGCTTCGAATGCGGAAATATCGATAAATCGCAAAGCACGTCACGCCTCTGGTCTCGGAGCTTAAAGCTCCATTTTCAGTGGAGTTCGATGAAGACAGCTGAAAATGAAGCTTTAAACCATGAAACACGTTCCGGTTAAAAATCACTGAATGTAAAAGAGTGCGGAAAAGTTTTATAATTTCGTTTCAATCCAAGAATTATTAGTAATGGATGGTTCAGCAATTTTCTCCCGAGAAATTTTTCAATTTTGAGCACAAACAAGTTTTAAGGCTTTTTTTTCCTAAGTAGAGACCTCCCTAACAGATAATGGGATTCTAAACGTTTAGAGGACCTTCAAATGAAATGATCGAGATCGACTGTAAATATCTCGACGTTTTGCTTTAAAATATACGGTTGATATAATTCATCAAATTTATCACTCAATGGTAGGATCTTAGAAAAAGAGAAAAAAGTAAAATTTGAATGTTAGAGGGTTTTGCCTCGATTTGAAGCCTTCTTATAATGTCTTAAAAGACTATAATGTGATGAGACCACCTGGGGTAGAAATTTCAGGCGTGTTAAAAACGATGATAACTTTATATTCTTACATGATAAATGGACTGTTTTTTTCTCTAAGCATGAATGGGCCTTAAGAGTTAATAAAGGTATATCTAAATCACTTATCTTAGTAATAGTCTCATAAAAAATGATGAAGATCTTAATTGACTGTGCAGTGCCTCATCCAAATCAAGTATTAATTGTTAAACAGCCTCACGAAGATAACCTGGATTGAATGTGATCTGGTCTGTGCACTGTATCATTGACCCTTCTTTGTAACTGTTTTTTCGTCAGTGATTCCCAACTTAAAGTGACTTAAAGAGAAGGAGAACAAATATTTTTGCTCTGTTTAACGGGGAAGAAGCCCAGAATTTTCATTCCTGCGATTCGAACTTGGAAAAATCCCATGAAACCTACCGTGGAGAAAAGGCGTTAAGGTGATTCGACGGACGCCATTTTTTGTGTCAGAGCGATGTGCGATTTATTCCATCGATTCGTTCCATAATTTCAGCTACTTGTCATTTTTTTCGGATTTTGAGATCGCATTTCTGTTGCCACGAGACTAAAGAAGTTATGTACCGAATTTGACCGAGCAATTCAAAGTAATAAAGGCAGAGTTTTTTTAGAGGAAAAATATCGCATTCCATACTGACATCGAATCTGCACTCGAATGCGATTTTTTACTCTAAAAAAAACCACGCCTTTATTACGTTGAATTTATTCGTCAGAATTGGTACATGAATTCCCCAGTCTCATTACAATAGAAGTGTGATCTCAAAATTCGGAAAAAAATGAAAAATAGCTGAAATTATGGAACGAATCAATGCGATATATCGCACGTCGCTCTGACACAAAAAATGGCGTCCGTCGAATTACCTTAAGGAATCTTTAAAATATTCCGTTTCTGACTACACTGGAAAAAAAGTGGCTTGGATCTAGAGTCCAGACTCTTGAAATCAATGACAGAAAAAATATTCTTGATTCGATCGGATTTTTGCTCGAATCAAAAGGAAATCCTCTTAAATCAAGAGGCTTCGTTCTTGATCCAGTCAAAAATCCGATTGAATCAAGAGTATTTTTTCTTGTCAATGTTTTTAAGAGTCTGGATTCTGGATCCAAGCTACTTTTTTTTCCATCGTAGACCCTCGTTTGAGAACCACTGATGGATGCGGCTGAGCTCTCCAATGATACGGTGTGTTTATTTCCGATTTCTCGCAGGGTTGTCATCCACGTTCCAAACAAGATAAACAACATCCACCACCACCATGTGAAGAAGGTGATCGTCTACAAACCGGTGCCGGTGAAGTGTCACCACGAGGAGGACAAACACGACTGGCAGGAGGGCTGGGAGTCGACTCAGAAAGATGAGTGGCTCGATAAGCGCCCGTCTATCCCGATCCCGGTCAAACACCCCGGGCATCCCGGCCACCCTGGTTGGCCCATCCCGGAGCTCATCAAGACGACAGGATACGTGAGCGGAGAGCGCATCAGCTCGGATACTTGGGATGCCACCGGGACCTCCACCGCCGCCGTCAAATACCCCAAAATCCTCGAGGAGGACGAGGCCGACCTTCACCCCCTTCCGAGCAAGAAGCGACCCCTTCCACCGATCGTCAACGACCCCTCCGACTGGAAGCTCTGGTCCCCGGGTGACGTCACGCCCCACGCCGTCGCCCCTCCCAAAAACCCCCCGCCCGGCCCTCGGCTCAAAGCCCCCGTCGTCCAACCCCCGAAAGAACACATCGTTACCTATAGAGTGGTCAAAAAGAAGGTCACAAAACCGAAAGTAAAAAAACCTCCCCTATCATCGACCGAGGTCAAACCGAAACCCATTCTCCAATCCCACTACTCTAATCAGGGTGTTAAGACTGCCCAATATCCGCCTCACTCATATGTTCAGCAACCGAGTTACGAGGAGGACATGTACATGGCTAGTAGTAGTATCAAGCCACATGATTACCCCAAGACGCAACAAAGCTCTTTGTACAGTTCGCCCTACTCCGGGCACAATAATCCACAGCCACCCCCACAACCTGTATTGAGTCAAAATGTGTATCATAATAATTACTCACCGTCGAGCACAGTGCAGCCTTATTACGACCAGGACCCATATTTTACCAGTAGTAGTAGGCCTTACGTCAATCAAAATTACGCGAGGCCGTATTACGATCAGGCCGATGCTTATTCTGCGCCGAAAGGTCACGGGATACAGAATGAGCAGGAACCGTTTTTATTGAATCCTCATAATATCAAAGCGTTGCTGGACCAGAATGTCCAGGTATCGGAGTCGAGTAGACGGAAGCCGAGTTACGATTTGAATATTCATAATCCGAGTAAAGTTCGGCCGAATTCGTCATCGTACCAAATGCGGTACTCGCATTTGAATAGTACCACGCCTACGGCATATTTAATTAACCATTAAGATTATGTTAGACTGATTTAGCAATTTCGTCATTCAATATATTTGTTTTTTCCAAAAGCACGATGGAGTAAAAAATTAATGAAAGGAATGGACACTTCAAGATTTAGTTGTACGTTAGTGTTTTGTTTGGAAACATCAATTCATCGAATGACGCGCACTGAAAAAAAAGTATGGTAACATTTACTATGAGTCTACTTGATTTTTTACACAGTGATACTATTTAGTGGAAATAACCAGAATTATATCAGTATTCACCAGAACTCTAGTGATTCTTACCATAGTATGGTATATGCCACCATAGAGTCTGGTGTTAATTACCATATTCGTATCACTGTGTCAGAGATGGTAAAATCTACCATATTTTTTTTTTCAGTGGAGCTACTAAATCCTCGAAAAAAATATGAGTCCAAAAATAAAAGGAAAGAAAATCTGCATCCAAAAATAAGTATGTGCCTTATCTGAAATATTTTGAAAACAAATTATGCAAAATCAGTTGTTTCTTATATTTTATATAGCAGTAAAGCCAAAGAGAGGGATTTCTTGTGAGCCAAATCAGCGTTCCTTCCCCCCAGACACTACTTCCGATTCGTGGCACTGATCAGTGGCGTGGCGTGCTTTGCAATACATCGATCGATATGCCATTTAAACCAATGGAGAAGGATCGAACACCTTAATAATCGATCTTTTACCATAGCTTCAAATGGGAAAATATCTATAATCCATCATTCAAGCCTCGCCACTGATTGACGCTGTTTTAATATTGAATATTATATATAATCAATTAAGTAATTTTTGAAGAGTTTGGTGCTTTATTTTAAGCTCTTCTGTTAAAATTTATGGCTTTTTCTCACCGAAGCATAATTCTTCAAAACGTTTAGCGGCAAATAGTAAAGATCTCTCAGATTTTTTGTTTTATTTTACCTAATCATTTATTGTTCCGTTGTTAATTGTGCTGTTAAATGAACCTGCTTTTTCTACCGATTTTAGAGTAAGAATTTCCTGTAAGTTATCAACTTTGAGTTACTTTAAAGAATAAAGCGTATATGTAAATAATCATGTTTGTCGATTTCCTCGATATTATCTGACCAGAAATCTATTAACTTCTTAAATTAAGTCCTTTCCACGCTGCACGAGGCAGAAATTGTTATTCCGAAGTGACCTCTCTCAGAGCTTTTCCTTTTCACAATTCACTGTGTAAAATTTTACTTCTGCAATTCTGCATCTTCAAACTGGAAGGGATTTGAGCCCTCTGGATTTCGGGTATATTCACTGGGTTTCCTTACAGTGTTGTTAACTCTTTACTCTCCCAAAATCACGTCGCAATACTGCAAAAATTTCTTTTTCAAATTTACTATCAGAGTAGAAATCATTATGTCTTGAGCGCCTTATGCAACCGATCCAGGATGACGACAGGCCGTCACCATACCAATTAATCGAGCAGGTAATGAATAAGTAATCCAACCTTGACTGCTTTCACTGTTGTCAACACAGTTGAATAACCATACAGTGCTCATCATTTGCCGCTTGGAGCACCAAGTCATCATACGCACCGTTTATTGATGAAATGAGTATCGGTTGCTCGACTTTATGCATGGATTCATCACGTCAATGAAAGTGTGCGTCCTCGCTACTTTTTCTGTTGAGAGCCTCCCCTCCCCCCTCCCTAATTAGTAAAGTTACGCTTTTCATCCTTAGTTGGATACATTATGGTGTGGCTGCAGTATAAAATCATCTAGAAGTTTTGATTACTTGAAGCAAAAATTAGCAAAATTAGCAGGGGCGTATTTTAGGGATCAAAGTAAGAAGTTAAAAGAAAAAAAAAAAAATCCAAAAGTTCTTCAGTCGGAACTACGAGTAACCTATACATTTTTGGGGGAACGGTCGTTTTTCCTGATATTTCACAACGGTTCATGACCAAACCCCTTGAAAAATTACTGTTTACCATTACTAGTGCTGCATATTTTTAGCGTTGAATTCATCCATAACCTCGAGGACATCAATATATCAAGTTACAGACACATTTTAGGCGGCATAATATTACACGCTTAAATGACAGAGACCTCCTGAAATCTTCCCTCAACTTGAAATTTTAACATTTTATGGGGCGTGGATAAATTCGGTGCCGCATGCAAAAAATTTCCCATAAACTTGGGAAAGCCCAAAAAATTGGTGACACTTTTGGAAAATGACTAATTATTAGAGAAAAATATGTATTATTTTGACCCATAGAATATGCTCATGCAGTCTGGACGTTTAATCCTGATGCAAGCTGCATTACAAATAAGTAAACAGATACCGATGGCTAAAGTGCGACACCACGTACATCTCCATCGCGGTGAACCAAATAAATCTCCGTTCCTGGTTTAATTTTTTGAAAAGGAACAAGTCATCTCTGTAGCTTGAAATGTACTCAGAATATTCTACAAACAGAGAATAAAAACCAAGAAAAGTTTCAAGAAATTACGTTGACTTAATTTTCCGAGGAAAAAATGAAGTATGGCTGGAAGTCTACAATATTGACGGTGTAAGTTGGCAGTCACATAACTCGGTTTGCGACGTCGCAGACTTCCTGTCATACTTTATTTTTTAAACGGAAAGCTACTCAACGGCAATTATACATTTTTTCCGTGATTTTTCGTCTCTGTGCGAAGAAAATTCTACATAAACTTCAAGGAATAATGTTAATTTACTCTCCTATATAAAAATAACATAGAGGCGGAGATTTTCAGACACACTGGAAAAAAAACACTTTGGATCTAGAGTCCAGACTCTTGAAAACATTGACAAGAGAAAATACTCTTGATTCAATCGGATTTTAGCTTGAATCAAAACAAAATACGCTTAAATTAAGAGGCTTGGTTCTTGATTTAAGCTATATTCTGATCGAATCAAGAGTACTTTTTCTTGTCGATGTTTTAAAGAGTCTGGACTCTAGTTCTAACGTAATTTTTCGTCGAATATATCTTTAGAGGTTTTAAGGAATCTTGAAAATATTCTCTGCAATACTTTCACCTCACTTCACTACTTAGAAACTACAATCCGCACAGTAAATGTAAGGGGATATTTACATTATTTTTTATGTAAACGGGGTGGGGCAGGCAAACGATACGTAATACGTAATTAACGTAACGATATACGTCTAGCAAATCGTTACGGAGCGTCACAGGGGGTGAGGGATGTCAGAAAAATTGAAAATTTAGCGTTACGTATTTTTAGGACGGCCTCTTACACCATACTATAGTGTCTACACTATTAGTCTGCCACCGTGTAGATCTTGATGGCAGGGATTTCTGGAGACTTTAACGGAAGGCTAGAAAAAACACGTAACTGCAGAATTTTTCGAGGGAGACTTAGACTTTTCCATGCTAGGGTGCTCTAAATGTAGTTGAAAAAAAAAGGATGTCACGGAAAAATAAAAAGGTTACGGAGACTTTAACGAAATGATAGAATAAACGCCACGGTGTTCGGAGGAACTTCTCACAGGAAATGCTGCTAAGCTCATGAGGTGTCTCAAGTTTAGAGAGGGGATAGGAGGAGAACCCACGACACTCTTCATGAAGGAATAAAGGGGTTCCATGGAGACTTTAACGATTGAGTAGAAAGCACACCAAGCTAAAGAATTTCTCGTACACTGGGAAAAAAAAAAAAAAAAAAAAAAAAAAAAAAAAAAAAAAAAAAAAAAAAAAAAAAAAANAAAAAAAAAAAAAAAAAAAAAACATTGGATCTAGAATCCAGACTCTTGAAAACATTGACAAGAAAAAATACTCTTGATTCAATCGGATTTTAGCTTGAATCAAAACAAAATACGCTTAAATTAAGAGGCTTGGTTCTTGATTTAAGCTAGATTCTGATTGAATCAAGAGTACTTTTTCTTGTCGATGTTTTTAAGAGTCTGGACTCTAGATCTAACGTATTTTTTTTTTACAGTGCACCGTAAAGGAGATATGTGATTATGGACTTACGCCGTCGATATGTTCTGTCTTGGACCTTCCCACATAGCCAGACTTAAGAAAGAATTGCGTTAAAGAAAGCCGAGAAAGGTTGAAACTTTCGTTCCTCTGTGTGTAGAAAAAAGAAGAAGTAAAAGTTGACCCAAGAATAACTAGAAGTTGACGACAGGGAGGAGTGTAGACGAAAAATATGTTGCCATGCACGTCATAGTCATGTGCGGATATTACAGTTCCCTCCTGTCCCTGATTTTTTAGATGCTTGATCTCTTCCGGGTCCGGCGCAGAGTTAATACGTAGCTTCATGCCATGCAACGATACGATCGACAAACGAGTGCAACCGTTGAGAGGCAACCTGCCGTGCTGCGGAAAAACGTAGTATCGGTAAGCAGACGTTGCCAAATTTCCCTCGATAAAATGTTCAATCCAAAGGAGAGCTATGGGTATTCTTTCTTCAAATTTTCAGATATAGATCAGATTGCAATCTCAACTCTCTGAAAGTTTGGAATAAAAATATTTGCAAATGTATCTTAATAAGAGATTGATGAGACTCAATAGCCCGAATGCAGACAACAATAAAAACATAATAAATTACAAAAAACAAATTTGTATACAGGGCTAAGGAGACATAAAACAAACCAGGACGTTCCGAGCCAATTACATCTCCATTCTCAACTGGAACAGAAGCTAAAAATGTAAAAATTAAAACGAGAAAATGAGCATGCAACTGACCAAGGTAGGAATCAGTGTAAACTGAAAAACAGAGCAAAGATGGACAGAGGGGTACTATCACCTCCTTGATAATAGGCCAACCTCCACACCCACCAAGGAGTATTTATAGAGGCTCTTCTCTACCACAGAACAACTGGTGATAGGATGCGCTCAATCCATCTATGTTAGCTCTAAAGTTGCATGGTTCACCTCTATTCTTGACGATGTTTATCATCTTTTTTGTATTTTATTGTGTTTTTATCTTAATATTGATGTTTTAATCCGAGGTAATTTGGCAATGACTGGATGCCTCACACGGCGTTTTTGCTTAGGTTGTCAGTGCGACATTGGTAGACGACGATGGACGGCCACCGGGCGAGGGAGAGGGGAGCGCTAATTACAAGCTGCTAACTTGAGGATATCGGAAAGAAAGTGAAACGCCATTGTTCGGAGATTGCACCGAGTAGAGGATAATTGTCGGCAGGTGGATCA